GAAAACAAAAAATTTGAAATATTTTTTAATAAGAATGGCATGTCTCGTGATTTATCTTGTCCTAGAACTCCCCAGAAAAATTGAGTTGTAGAACGAAAGAACAGGACTTTACAAGAAATGGCTAGAACCATGATCAACGAGACTAACATTGCTAAGAACTTCTGGGAAGAAGAAATTAACACAGCGTGTTACATTGAGAATAGAATCTCCATAAGACCTATTCTGGATAAGACTCCATATGAATTATGGAAGAAAAGAAAGTCCAACATCTCGTATTTCCATCCATTTGGGTGTATTTGTTTTATTCTTAACACCAAAGAACATCTGAACAAGTTTGACTCTAAATCACAGAAGTGTATTATGTTAGGATAATCTGAAAGCTCAAGAGGCTACAAAGTATACAACACAGAAACACAGATTGTAGAAGAATCAATCAGTGTTAGATTTGATGACAAGCTTGGCTCTCAAAAGTCAAAGCAAAATGAGTCTCTTGCAGATATAGAAGTCCAATTTATAGGTACTGAAGACACTGCATCAGAAGTCCCTCACAAAGAATCACAAACAACATCAGAAGGAGATGTCATAAACATTACAGCAACATCTGAAGAACCTCTTTAGAAAATACATCCCAGAAGCAGCCTAGCTCATCCTGAAGACAAAATTCTGGGAAAGAAGGAAGATCCAATAAGAACAAGATCCACATTCAGAAACTCAAAAGAATCTCTCATGCGATTAGTATCTCTGATTGAGCCAACTTCCATTAATGAAGGTCTTCTGGACAATGATTGGATACTGGCTATGCAGGAGGAATTAAACCAATTTACCATAAATGATGTGTGGGATCTGGTTCTTAAACCAAAAGGGTTCAACGTTATTGGAACAAAATGGGTATTCAGAAACAAGCTAAATGAACAAGGAAAAGTCATCAGAAACAAAGAACAGTTGGTTGCACAAGGTTATAGTCAACAAGAGGGGATAAACTATACAGAAACCTTTGCTCCAGTCGTCAGGTTAGAATCTATCAGAATTTTAATTTCCTTCATTGTGAATAATGGAATCACTCTCTATCAGATGGATGTCAAAAGTTCATTCTTAAATGGATACATTGACGAAGAAGTTTACGTGCACCAACCACCTGGTTTTGAAAATTCCAAACATCCAGAATATGTTTTAAAACTAAAGAAATCACTATATGGTCTAAAACAAGCTCCCAGAGCTTGGTATGAAAGACTAAGTAGCTTTCTATTAGAAAATGATTTCACCAGAGGGAAAGTGGACACAACCTTATTTTGTAAGCCATTTATGAATGAAATTCTAGTTTGTCAAATTTATGTAGGTGATATTATTTTTGGATCTACTAAAGCCTCTCTGGGAAGAGAATTTGCTAAGTCTATGCAGGCAGAGTTTGAAATGAGCTTGATGGGAGAACTCAAATTCTTTCTGGGCGTTCAGATCAATCAAACTCCAAAAGGAACTTACATACAACAGAGAAAATACGTCAAAGAACTTCTGAAGAAATTCGACTTATCAGAATGCAAGCCAACCAAGACTCCAATGCATCCTACATTCATTCTTGAAACGAAAGAGGTAAGTAAAAGGTAGAACATAAGATCTACAGAGGTATGATTGGTTCTCTCTTATATCTTACAGCTTCAAGACCTGATATTCTATATAGTGTATGTTTATGTGCCAGATTCTAATCAGATCCTAGAGAATCTCACTTAACAGCTTTTAAGCAAATTTTCAAGTATCTGAAAGGTACTACTAATCTTGGCTTGTTTTATAGATAAAACAGTGAATACAAATTAGTAGGGTATTGTGATGCTGACTTCGTTGGAGATAGAGTAGAAAGAAAAAGCACTTCTAGAAGCTGCTAGTTTCTGGGAGAAAATCTGATCTCATGGACCAACAAGAGGCAATCCACAATTACAGTATCAACTGCTGAAGCTGAATACAAGTAGCAGTTGGATGCAGCACACAGATGCTCTGGATGAAAAGTCAGCTTGAAGACTTCAATATATTTGAGAGTAACATTCCTATATTCTATGATAACACTTCTACAATTTGTTTATATAGAAATCCTATTTTACATTCTAGGGATAAGAAAATAGAAATAAAACATCACTTTATTAGGACTATATTTAGAAAGGAATTATTTCCTTAAAATTTATTGACATAGACCATCAATGGGTTGATGTTTTCACTAAAACACTTTCTGAAGATAGCTTTAATTTCATTCTGAAACATCTCAGCATGAAATTGTGTCCAGAATAAGAGTTTTATTTATATATTCTTTAACCCTGAAAATTTTATGTTTTTTCTGTGAACATCTGATCAACAATTCTTCAGAAGTTAGAAGGACAGTTGCATCAGGATCTATACAATAAGATTTGAACAGTTTCCAAGCGGTTCATTTCTAAGATAGAAGGATGCAGTTCACATCATCAACATTTGTCATCCTCTCACAAGCATCCTTTTAAGGCTGAACACGCATTCAAATTCTGAAGGGATTAATGCTTTGATTGGATGCATTGAGACTCATGTTATATTGGTAACTGTTCTATATCTCCACACCATCTCCCTATTTTCAGGAATCATTAATGTTATGTAATCATTATTTTTTCTTGTGAATTAAGTTTTCAATTTGCTTATAAATACACCATTACCTTTCACTCTCACTTTTTCTCGCTACTATTTTCTCTCTAGTTTTTGTGTGCAAAACCTTGTTTCAAAAAACCCTCAACAATCTGTGTGAATAATGGCTTCATCTTCAAGCGCTCAGAACCCTCAATATGCTCCTAGTTCATCTTCGTCAACTGCAGAAAGATACGAAGAACCGTCAAGAACTCTACTGATCCCCATTGATTCATTAGAGGTTCTCTGCAAACTCATCATTAATTTTGAAAGCATGAAGGAAAACGGCTATGATCTTACACCAGGTATGGAATTTCAAGGATGGACTAGATATTTTGATTGTCTTCTGGGTCCAGTTTTCCCAAACATGGTCAACAAATTCTAGATTCACGCCTCTAGATCAAACCATCAAGTAACTTCATATGTGATGGGGAAGAAGATTGCAATTTCTGAAGATCTGATTGCAAGGTTGATTGGTCATAACGGCGGAGGAACCCGTTGCAGCGATATGGCTAAAAAATATTTTGACCTAACAACAATCTCAAGAGAGATTTTTACCTCTCGGCAGCCACCAAACAAAATTAAAGATCTGAAGGACTACTTCAGAATTTGGGAAAAAATTATTTTGGGCTGTATCAACCACAGGAAGCCCACAAGCTCTCCTGATTACATCAACATTGACCAACAATTTCTGTTGTACTTCATTGCAACAAAGGCAAAAATAAATCTTCCTCATTTGTTATTCAACCATCTGAAAACAAGTGTGAAGGAAACCAGAGAAGATGAAAGAACTAAGAGGGATTGGATACCTCTGGGTAGGCTGATATCATATATTCTAACTGAAAACAAATTAGTAGAATATCTGACTGAAGCTCAGCAAATCAGCACTCTGGAGGCATGTGCTGGAAATCCTCTCAATGCTAAGAATCTGAAGAAGATGAAAATTATTGACAGCATTAAGAAGGATCTAACTATTGCAACCAAAGAAGTCATCACATCAAGAAGAGCTCCTCTGAAAGATTTCCCTCTGTTCTCTCAAATAGATGCTTCACCAGAAATCATTGTCAGATATTTGGAAACATGCAAGGTGGATGGGACTAATCCAGAGTTAAACATTCGTGATTTGTGTCAACGGGCTCCAGAAGTTGTCCTCAAGAAATCCACAAAAAGGAAAGCTGCAGGAGAAGGATCTTCTCAGAAGACACCAAAAGCTTCTAAGAAGAAAGGTAATTCTTCTTTTATTTCTGTTGTAGAATCAGTGATTTTATCAACATCTGAAACACCCTCCTCTCCAAAACCAATAGAAGACCACTCACCACAAACCTTTGATGATTTTGATATAGAATTTGACCCTTCAGTCACACTAGAAAACATTTTGAACAAACCACACTCTCCTAATGCACATCTTGAACAAAATCAGCCAGAACTTGCTCAAGTTCTTTCTAATATTGATCAATTTGATCCAGAATTTCAAGCTCCGCATATAGAAAATCCAAACATCCAAGCTACCCACTCTGAAAATCCAAACGCTCAAGCTTCCCAACAAGAAAATCCAAATATTGACTCCGATACCACCACACCAATTCTTGGAATAATAGAACCTCTCATGGTTCGACAACCTCTCTCAATCCACGACATTTCAGAAATCCCATCTCCTTACCATTCCACTCCACCAAACACACCTCCATCACCCATTATCATTTCTGATTCTCCTTCTCCCTCTCCTATTAATCCTCCAGAAGATCACCTAAGAACTGTAATAGACTTAGAAGCGCTGAATCACCTTGCCTCTAACTCTCACAAAATTCCTATCCCAAAACCAAAACCAACTATCACCAAGGTAGATGTTGGTAGAAATTTACTGATTTTTGAAACAGAGATAATTGAATGGGTTAACTCTTTGAAGCTAGCATGCTTAGAAAATATGAATCCTGCTGCTTCTGATTCTCACTAGAACCAGTTCAGAAAATGGTTTAACTCTGAATCCCAGAAACTCAAGGAGTTAAGCTATAAAATGTCCCAAAAGAACTTTTGTGATCAGCTGAATGTTTACAAGGATCAAGTTATACGTCACCGGGAAAAGAACCCTATTCTTCTGCTGGATAATGCTCCCTAGAAAGAGTGCCAGCCTACAGAAGTTGATGAACCATGCTCTGATAATATTTCTCTGGTTGTTGTTCAATACAAAGGCAAAGAGACTGAAGAAGCCACTGAGTCAGAACCTGCTACAGCTTGTTATGAGAAGCTTGCACCTTCTATGGATATACCTTCTTCATCTCTGGTTATGCAAACTCTGGAAGATTTGAAGAAAGAAAATATAGTGATCAAGGAGATATTAGACAAGCAAGATGACACGTGCAAAGAAATCAAAGGAATGCTGGAAAAACAAGAGGAATCAAACACTCAGATTAAGAGCTTGTTGGAAGTGTTGTTCACACAACTTCCTCCACCTTAATCTTAGTTTTTTTTAAACTTGTTTTCTTTACTGTATTCATTTTTTTGTTTGCCTGTGAACGTGTTATTGCAATCAATTTTAATACAAGTCAACTTTTGACTCAGAATATTAGTGTTTACATTACTTTTTGAATCTTGACAAAAAAGGGGGAGAATGTAAGATATTTCTAATAACAGTATATCAAGACACAGTCTCAAACATTTTGAATATCATAACTTCTCGTCTTTTTCCCGAAAGCAAAATAGGAACAAAACTCTGATGAAGACAGAAGTAGATGCATCAAAAGCTCTGATCAGAATGAACTTCAGGGAAGTAATTCATCTCTATGTGAGTACTCAGCTCAGGGGGAGAGCCTATAAAGCTTTATGTTCTATTTATTTTTATTAAAATATCCTAGTTTTTGTCATCATGAAAAAGGGGGAGATTGTTAGAACATAGTTTGGTTCTACAACCCTTGTAAGAGTTTTAATGATAACAATCACAAAGAACAATTACGCACTCTAAAATTATATTTTGTTTTGTAGAGAAGTTCTGATGGAAGAATATTAGAAGATAAGCTAGAAGGTTGTTCTTGTTGTGATTGTAGACAACTCTCAAAAAGCTCTGATGAAAGGAGATTAGAAGTTGCGCTAAAAAGATGTTTCAACTCTGATTATAAAACTCTGGGAAAGAAAGTCTAACGCTACAAACAGGATCTTATGTATCTAATCCTCAAAAGTTCTGAAGCAAGCAGCAAAGAATATTTCAATGTTCTGAAGCGTTACAAATCAAATATTTCCATTTCAAGAGAAACGACTGGAATGGAACAAGGATCTTTATTTTTGGAAAGCACCTTAACTGTCATTAATCAAGTTTCCAAATGATCATCCATGTTGTGCCTATTTAAACAAGCCTTGAGGATAAACCATTTACGATTTTTCACACATACTCAACAACGCTATAATCATCTCTAATCCTCAAACATTCAATATTTTCAACTGTGTAAAACATCACTATACTGTGATATTGTTTTGTAAGAAACAATATTGTACATTGTTTATTTTTATATTGTTTAGTGTATTTCCTTGATAAAAAATGGATTGTGGTTATACTCAAGAAGACTTTGGCAGTTGTCAAAGTAGACTTGTAATCAAGATTGATTAGTGGATTAAGACCTCGTTGGAGAGAGGCGAAATCACCTTGATGGGTGGACTGAAGTAGTTTGAGTTCAAACGAACCAGGATAAAAATCAACGTGTTATTTTCTTTGAATTTTAAGATTCCAATTCAACCCCCCCCCCCCCCCCCCCCCCTTCTTGTGTTTTTCCATTCTTCATTTACCACATAGTGAATTAGCTGAATGTTTGGACGCATACTTCCCACATGGAAAGGTGTAGGAATGATGGAATTTGGATCGTATTGGAAGTTGAACGAGGCCGCAGTGTGAAAACCCTCACTTTGATCAATTTCTTGGTAGTAATATTTCAAACAACGAAGATTGTAGAATTCAGAAAACTCCTCAAGAGACATGGATATCTGATGCTTCTTGACTCCATAAGTGATGATGCCATTATCTAATATGAGGTTGGCGTATAACATTATTACCAAGGTGGGATATATTTCCATCTCGACATCATAGATGAAACTTTTCAGCCTTGCTCCTTCAAACAATCTGAAGAACTCACGACTTCTGAAAACACTCACCTTGAAAAAGTAGGAAGGCATGACTTCTATGTCGACAAACTCTCTGTAGAACTTGGCTTCTTTCTCCATGGTTGAGAAATAAATTGATAAGTATGATGGATAAAAGGTGTTGGAGGAGACTATTTTTGGTGTCATGAGAATGGATGGGAGCTAGGAGTAAACCTAGCACAAAATATACTAATGAGCAACTAGAGAGTAAGATGAAGTGTGCAAGATGGTGTGAGGAGAATGAAGGAGAGAATAACCTTAAAAAACCACTAAATAATTGATTATCTTGGCCAATAATTGATTATAGTAGTTGGATAATCAATTTTTACTTATCTGACTGTTGAGGGTGCACTCCGACCTAAGCAAAAACCGATTATATTTTAGGGTTAATTGATTATGTAGCTGATATTTTGAATTTTTAATTTTGAACTTTATATTGGCTCTAATTGATTTAGACTTACTCGATTGTTCGTGAAAACATTTTCCATTTGTGCATCCTTTAGGCCTTGGATTGATATTGGACCTTGGTAAACTATGTTTGGAACCTCCTTGCTTTAAGATTAACATCCCTTTGCTGAAGAAGTACGTAAAACACAACCGAAAGGTTAGTAAAAATAATTTTAAATGACTAAACATTTAATAAACCACTTTCTAGAGGATCAATCAAACTTTTTTGATATTTCAACCTCTATTAAGTGTATTACCTCAAAATCTCGAGATAACTTGTAAGAATGTGCATAGTATCTTGCTAGTTGTTGATTTTCCTAAAAAATATCCAAAGGATGGGTGTTTTTAGTAAATTCGATTGGAAAGTTTTTGTATGTAACATGTTAAGCAAGATGGTCTAACTTAGTTTGAGAAATTTTGTCTTGGTCTATTTTTGGTATGCGTTTCTTATATGATTGAATATTGCTCCAGCAAGATTTGTTTCCTTTTTTGTTTAATCAGGGATTCAATTTATAGCGTGTTTTTATATGGAAAATATTTTGTTATAAATCTATTTGCTGAAGATATTAGAATTATTATTTATGTCAAAAAAGATTTAATTAGATTTGATTTTTTCAAGATTTAGAATTGGTTTAATGAGGAAATATTTGTGTTGCACTTTTTGGAATCCATTCGTATTTATGTCAAAACCCTATTGGGCTTTCCTGTTGGATCTTGTTGTTATTTAAGGAGAGGTTTTTCATCGTTTGAAGACTCAAACCTAGAATAATTTAGTTTGTTGTTTTCTTATTTTCATCGAGTATATCGTTTTGGGTTTGTAATACTCCATTCTTGGGTATCTTTCATAAATTAGAAGGACAGAGTATTTGATTTTAACTATGATTAGCATGCTTTATATTTTTGTAATTATACAAACACTTGGGATAATGTTTATGTGAAAGTGAGAGGGGTCCCAGATAATAGGTGGGAGTCTGAATCAAAATTCATGGGTAGTATTAGGAAAAAGGTACTCAACTAGGAGAGTTCATATAAGAACGTTATGTACTATTGACTATTGATTAGTGAATTTATTTTCATTGAGCTAATGTTCTCTAGATGTAGGTGACTTTATACTGAACTGGCTTAACAACTACATGTGTCATTTTCTTTGGTTAATTGTTATTTGTTGTTACGTAATTTCATTGTCGTTCACATTGTTTCAACATTGTGTTTGGCATTCTGTTACTGATCAAACATAATTTCAAACTAATAACATACAATTCTAGAAATTAGTAAATCTTTAAAATAATAGTATTCTACAAAGAGATAAACAACCTAAGATCATGAAAATTATACAAAAATTAAAAGAGAGGGATAGAGAGAATTGTGCAACAGTATTTATATTTCTTTGGTGCGTCTTTCTCGATTGCATGATATAATAAATATAACACTTATAAGTATAATAATTTATTACAACATTACACGCTTCTATTATGGGTTCCAATACTTTATTTATATTATTCTAATTTTTCTCTTCTGCACTTGTAATACGGTGGGTGAACTGACTTTTTTTGGTTTTATCCAAAATGTGCGGATAGCTATAGTCGCACCGACTTTTATTTTATTTAATATTTAGGAAAAGTGAAAAGAACAGGAAAGACCTTTGATAGATTTTGAGTTCGGGGGCAAGTTATGAAAAGGGGAGGTGTTAGCACCCTTTTTATCTGTAGTTATCTACGGGCTCTTAATTGCTAGCTCACTTTTGAAAATTTTCTTTGTGTGTGATTTGAAAATATTTTTGAAAAGCCAAAGTACGGCCAACATTGTAAAAATTCTTGGATCAGTACTCAAGAATGCGTACAAAGTGTTTGAAAATATTTTGTTTGAAAAGTGTGATCTGAAAAAATGTTTATTTCAGAAAAGAGTTGTGAGCAAGTGATTCAGAGTTCCTTACCCACTAAAGTTTGTTCTTGTAATTTTCCTTCTCCTTTAGAGATAGTGTTATCCATGCCATTAGTTAGTAGGTAGCCCTATCTATTGGATGTGAAGGCAACTTGTAGGAATACTTTAGCAATTTGTATCGGAGGGACTAGATCATTTTCATAGGCAACTTTAAAGGGTCATCGAGGGACTAACGATCTTTATTCGTAAGGGTCTTTTTCTAAATCATCCCTACTTTCAAGGGACATGACCATGTATCGTAAGAAAACAAGAGAGGATATCCTAGAGGTGCAAGTGTGCGAAGTGTGTTCAGTTCAGTTATGTTATCTTGAGAATTAGGGTTTTCTATGATTGTTTTTAATCTTGTCATATAAACCCTAGTTACTAGAAGTTAAATATATACAGGAAGTTAAATTGTGGAATGTAAAGTTCCTACGCTATTACATGGCTTTGGGGCAGTTACATAAGTATAAAACTGTGAGAAAATAAATCTACACTATTACAAAAAACCCGTGCGACCTATACAATTGTTTCTAGGAATTTAAATGCAAAAGAAAATAAAAAATTATTAGGAAAAAATGTCAAATGCCCTAAAATTCTAAGTGTTAAGAAAACATCTTGGTGTTTTTGTTTAGAAAATAATTCGAGTGTTAAAAAGTAATTAAACCTAATTCTAATCAATTTTAAGAAAATTAAGTTAATAAAAACCCTAATGTCTAATTTATTTTAATTAATAATAAACCTAAATTCTAATTAGTTTTAATAAAATTATTTGGCTTAATTGACCCTAAAACTAATTAGGTTATGATTAATTAATCAATTGGTAAAAAAAGATATGTAAAAAGAAAGAAAAATAAGGGTTAGAAAAACAATGAAAATAAGTGCATGGGGTGGGTGTTGAACCCACACCCTTGATCTCAACAGCATGCCCTCTTGTCACTATACCAGTTGATTGTTTATGATATGGAATAGGAATGATTCCATTTGTAATAATCTTGCGTTGTGTCTTGAAAATGACAAAACAATTTGCCAAAAGGGGGGATTGAACCCACGCACCTACATTTACCAAACACACACTTCACCACCAGGCCACTTGTTGTTACGCATTAGTGAATTATAACTTAAACAACAAATAATAAATCATCAATTCAGAGACACCGGAGTCAAACTCCGGTCGTCTTCTCCGATTACTCCAATTTTGAAACCTGTGTGAATTGATCAGAAAACAAAAACAAACAAACCAAATTAACTAAATAGTCTACTGCGAGTTCAATGGTGTGGTCAGCTTGGCCTAAAAATGTCTGTAGCTAGGGTTTCATAGCTTTGAGTGGTTCGTGCCCTAGCAATGGAAAAAATCAGTACCTGCGCTAAAGCTCACAAACATTGGTTCCAAATAATTTCAGTCCTCACTATGAACATGTGTATATGATTAGAATTAATTTATATAGCATGGATAAAAGTTTGAGATTGAAGAACATTACCAAGTTGGACCACTTGGTTGGCACGTCCTGGGATCTCTTGAGCGTGAGTAAGGATTGGAATGGGCTTATGGGACCTTCAGGAAGCTGATGTGATGCTGGAAGTTAATTGATCAAGGTTGCTAGTAGGGTTTTGAATTTGCCCTAGCTCTTGAGAAATTTTTAGACTTTTGACTAGATCTTGGAGGCAATAACTCATGGCCTTAGTGTATGGATGTGTTAGGTATTTATATGAGAGGAGAATAGGTCATAAAAAGTTAAACAAATCTTAAAAATTCATGGTGAAAATATTTGATTTGAAAATTATATGAAACTTTCTATTTTGGCCAATATTTGATTCAAAGAGCTTCACACGCTTTAGTCGGCTCAAATATATGATTTTTGGCTCATGATTTGATCCAAAAATAGATCCATGCACCTCTCATGATTTAATGGATATTTTATTTAATTTATTTTGATTTAAATTGAATAAAATCATAATAAAACAAATAAAAATCACAAAAAATTATATGAGTGGGTTTATAGGTTCTCTAATGTATTATGAAAACGTTTGGACCTGAAAACTTAGGCCCAATAGCCCAAAATTACAAATTTGCTCAATTTGGAGTTCATGTATTTTCTCAAAATTTCCAGCGTGTGCAACTTATAACTTGATCAATTTTTGTCATATGAAGGTGATCTTGGACATTTTAGAAAGCTCGAGATGTCTCCTACAACTCTCATGTTTTTGATTTTATCATTTGAAATCTTTATCTTGATATAAATTGCTTTGACAAAAGATGACTTCTCCTAAAGAGACCTCTAATTTGGTAACTTTTGACTTTTGATGAATCTTGAGGTTTCTTGATGAATCATGATCAACCCTTGATCAAATAATGAATGAGACCTCAAAATCTTGATGTTGACCAAAAATCTTGAAGTTTAACTATAAATTAGCCAAAGTTGACTTTTTGCCCAATATAGTTGATTTTCAATCATCTGACAATTTGATTGAGCAAACTTATGCTACAATGCATGAAACTTGGAATGAGGATACCTTGAAGCATATGAGAAACCATTAAGTCCACTTGAAGCATTATAAGTCCAATTTTCTTTGAGAAAACCGAAACCCTAGTTGTAGGCCACTGCGTAGGAGGAGGATTCATCTAATCATTTCTTGAGTAGTCATGAGTGTTTGAGACCCTTAGGAGCATGAGGAGGTATTTTGAATCAATTTGTCTTAAAAATGGGAGGGAA